CAGGCAACCAGGTGCACGGCTCATGCTGATTGGCTCCAGCAGCTGGAGCGAACCCTGGAACTAGGGTGGCCCCCCCACGCACCCGGGCCCTATAGAGCTGTATGGGCTGCAGAGACGGGCTGGGAGGGGTGGGCAGGAGGCAGGAAAGGGTGAAAAGTGAGCAGGGCCGGGCACATGCCCGTGCAAGGGGAACGCGCTGCACCAGACGCCCCCCAATGCAGGGTGGGTCTCGCTCTGCCGAGTGCAGCCCGGGTAACCCACGCTCCGGCCCAGCCTCTCCCCACGCGGTCCGTTCCCCCCCCCTCTAACTCCGCCCACTGAGGCTCAGCCCGACAAAGGGGCCAGGAGCTAGTCAGGAAGGGGTGAGCGCCTGGGGGGCTCGGGGCTGCACTGGGATGTAATTAGGAGATGGGGAAACGAGCACCCACAAGGGAAGAGACTTGCCTAAATCACACGGCAAATGAGGGGGATGGGAACAGAACCCAGAAGTCCTGCCCCTAGTCCTCTGTGTGAGGGAATCAGCATGGGGGAGTGGGGCGGGGCCACCAGCACATGGGGTATGACATGGGGCAGGGGGATCAGACCGGGCGGGTTACAGGGGCGGGGGGTCAGCACAGGGCAGGTTACAGGGGCGGGGGGGTCAGCAGAGGGCACGTTACAGGGGCGGCGGGGGGGTCAGCACAGGCCGATCTTTCCACAGATGTCAGCTGCGTGGCCCTGGCTGCCCTGCGATTCTACAACCAATGGCCCCATGTTCCGTGATTTCCAATTCCTTCCCATCGTGCGCATGCCGGTGCCTCCCCTTTCTCTCTCGCCAGCCCCAGCTCTCTGTGATATTCCCGCTCCCCTCGCCCTGTGCCAGGGGCTGGAGGTGAGAACACCTCTTCGGCGGCTCCTTGGTGCACGACGCGATCCCCATCTCTACGTAACCCGGGGGCTATCCAAATAACCACAGAGCAGGTGCTGCTCCACCCCTCCCAGCGAGGTGGCGGAGCTCCCGGCCCCAGGAGCCTCCGGCGGTCCTGAATTTGCTGAAGTTACCAAGAGAAGAGTTGGTGGGTGGAGTTCCCACTCCCAGGCCGTGCTGGGGATCTGAGCTGCTGTTCGTAGGGGTCGCTTCCATTAGCCCCCACCAGGAGCAAGCACTGCACACACATACACACGGGCCTGCCCGTTAGGAGCCAGTCACAGAAGTAACCGCTGAAAAGCGCAGCACAAAGGGGTCGTTTCCGTCCGTGTGCTGGAGGCATTCGGGTTGGTAAACGGGTGGCTGCAGCTTGGCCAACGGGTCACAACTGGAGTCCTGAGCTCACCAGTCCGTCGTTTGCAGACCCAGTCGCTGGGTCCCACATGCCTCTCGCTGGGTCTGCGTAGAGTCTTGTCGCTGTTTCTAGCTCTGTGAGTCTAGGGCACGCTCCCCTGGAGCAACCGCCTTGTCTGAGCCCTTCCTCGCGCCGTGAGATGCTGCAGGCCAGCCGCCCTAGCTGCCCAAACCCATGTCAGACCTCCTGAGCCCCCTCCTTGCACGCCCTTGGAGCACCACCTAGCTGTGGGCACTCCGGCCACCTGCAGTGTGAAGGGGCAGGGGTGGGGCAGACAGGTGCTCTCTGGTCCAGATCAGCTGTGGGGAGCGGGAATCTAGTCAGCTCTGATCTTCGCTGCTTTCAATCATTACAGGACTTTACTGAAAGCTAAACTCCCCATCTGGTTTGGGGGGTGAAAAGGGGGCAAGGCAGAGGGGGACCCACAGAACCGTATCAGGGTTGGCTCTTCACCCCAAAGCACCATGGACCCAGACCTTCTTTGGCGAGGAGCGAGCCCTGAGCTGTCCCTTCTGCGGGCAGCCTGGGTGTGGGGAGATTGACAGGTTGGAGCTGCAGCCTGGGCTCTGGACCAGGGCAGAGTGGTTCGCCTGACAGAATCAGAGTGTGAGGGAGGGCAGGGAGACCCAGCCTGCCCTGCATTAGGAACGACAGCCCAACCCACCCCAGTGACAGCCACTGCACCAGCCTCCAGACTACCCCTAGCCCAGCTCGGCTGTGGCATGGGCCCGATGTAAGAGCCCTGCATCTCCTGACCGTCTCCTTTTCCCAGCAGAACCGCTGTGAATCACTCCCCTGGCTTGGGGGGAGCTGCCAGCCAGACATTCTGCCTGGACCGTCCAACAAACCTTCCCATAATTAACTCCCCAGCGTGCCCAGGTGCGCAGGGATCTGAGCCCCACCCCCGCCTGGGCAGGGCCTGGGCTCTAGTGGCGACAGCGCCAAACTCGGCCAAGTGCTGGGGTTCACGTTGATGGCGCAGGATCACAGCGCGTCCCCGTGCCACGGCCGTGCCCCCGCTGGGACCTGGGGGGAGATGCAGGAGGCTGACGGAGAGGCACAAGGCATTGGATACTCTGGCTATGCCGTCTCCGGGACAGAGCCATGGCAGGGTCCCTGTGATGGGCTCCTGCAGCTGCCATCCCTCTGGGGAACTGGCACCCTGCTCACCCCCCGCCCGGCTCCTTTTCCTCCCCCCGCAGCAGAAAGCAGCGCTAGTTACAGTTCCTTGTTTTGAGGAATAAAAGATGGTGCGAATTAGCAACTGGAGGGTGATTCATGCATGAGTCACAGCCACAGAGCAGAGGTGGCAACAAGGAAATTACAGGGCACCCAACCCAGCGCCACCCTCCCCCCATGCCAGCTCCACTGCAGCTTTCTCTGCTGTGCAGAGGGAGGGGGCACCCCCTGTCCCCCCCAGCAGCTCACAGCTAGGGAGTGTTCCTGAGCCTGCTGGCCGGGCTGCTGTCCCCAGCAAGGGGCTGGTTTCTCTGTGTGGCTGGGGAGGCCCATGGAAGAGCCATGCCCACTTGCTCCGTCCCAATGTGTTGAGTATCTGTGTTCCAGAAGCTGCCAGTGGCCCCCGCCAGGGTCCAGGGCCTGGCACAGGTCACAGCTATGGAGCTCGCTGGCACCAGGACACTGTTCCTTCCCGGGGGCAAACCCTGCTGCCGGCCAGGCAGTGATAGAGAAGCCAGAGCTCACGCCTGCGATGTCACCGCAGCAGGGGATATGGTGCAGATCCCTGCCCTGGGCCCACAAGGGAGCACGGGTGGCCAGTGCCAGGGGGCATGAGAAAGGCATCACCTCCCCAGCCCACCCCACACGCCAGCAGCATTTGCAGGTCTCAGCCTGGCTCTGCTAATGCACCAGCAATGGAGTCAGGCATGGCGTGGCTGCCTCGCTGGCGCTCAGCTACCTTGGGGAAAGGGAGACGCTGGAACCAGCCCATCTAAGGCAGAGCTGAGAGGGCAGCGCAGCGGGGAGAGAAGGGGGAATCCGCCGAGCAATGGGTGGAGGCGGGGGAGACAGGGAGAGGCAAGAACCTGCGGCCTGAAGAGAAGAGGTTTCCTCACCCCCTCAGTGCTGAGCCTGTGAGCGGTAGCAGGAGAGGCAGAGGCTGGCAGGACGCACTGACCCTGTGTGTGGAGCCACGGCCTTCCCTTCCGGCACCGCCTGGGGAGCATGTCCTCCCCTCCCCGGTCACCCAGCCCCTCCCTTCCTGCATGGACAAAGTCTTTCCTGGCGGGCACCCAGGGCGGTGGGGTGGAGAGGCCAGGGGCGCTGGCACAGCCCTTCCCCACCCTTCAGGATCCAGGCTGCTCCAGCGTGGGGGTCAGGAGGGAGTTGGCCAGGGTGGGGGGTTGTAGGTTCAGGCTGTGGGTGCATTTGCACACTGCCCCCACACACACACACACTGATGTGGCTGATCCAGGCAGGGCAGAGGGGTGCCAGCTCACCGCAGAGCCCCGGGGAGGGGAAAGAACCGACTGCTGCTGAGAGGGGAGGATGGGAAAGGCTCATCTTCCCCCCACACAAACTGGAAAATTACCAGGTTGAGTAACATGGTGTCACTGTCTGCAGGGCCCAGCTCCCAGCAGCCAAGAGAACGGGGCTGGATGGGCAGAATCCACTGGCCAACTCAGCCCCACCCTGTCCGAGTGGCCAGCGACGCCCAGTGCCCGTGCCCAGGGATGGCTAGCTCTGGGGAGCAGGGACCCGAATGGAGCCGTTACCCAGCACTGGACTCAATCTGATCAAGTCTTCTCCCGACAGCTGCTGGTGGCCCAGGGGAAAGAAGCCGGGGGTCTCGGGGCAGCGGTGAGTCACAAAGCCTCAGGCACGACCCCTGGAGCTGCATGGGCCAGAGAGGCCGAGCTCCCCTGTCCCCAGAGGGTTGCTCAGGCTGGGCTGAAGGGGCACTGGCAGGACGAGGTGGGGCATTCTGCCCACTGGCCCTGCTTGGGTGGAGGCCTCTGATCTCCAGAGCTGTCAGCGGGCACTTCTCACAGGCACCACGCTCCATTTCTGCCCAGGGCAGCGAGGTACCAGCCGTGCCCTGCCAAGGGGAAACATCGGAGTCTTCGTGCCAGGGTGACCCCTGCGCCCGCTCGCCTCCTTCTGGGAACCACCCCGACCTGCTGGCACCGGCTTCCCCAGCACCAGGGCGGAGAGCCTGGGATCCCCAGCTCCCACTGGTATCCTCTGGGCGCGGGCGTCTGTCTCTCTGCCCAGCCAGTTCCAGCAGTGCCCGGGGATCTGTGGGGTGGGGATGGCTGCTGACCTCTCGCTGGCTTGGACGCTGGAGCCGCCTGCTCCAGGGTGAGCCCAGCGAGTGCCTAGGCCTGGAGTCCCCTGGGGCCGGGGGCAGCACTGGCCGCTGACTCTGTGTGCCGGGTACCCAGGGCACATCCCCGCCGGCCTGTGGCAGGGGCTCGGGATCCTTCGCCATGCCCACTGGCACCAAGCCGCCCGCCCTGCAGGGTTCCCGGGGGCAGCCCCCCAGGAAAGGGCTCGGTGCCTACAGGGGCCGGGAGAGCCAAGGGCAGGTGCCCCTGCCTGTGCCCAGGGGGCTGCCCCATGGCCGCAGCTCCAGCCCCGCGGAGCCGGGCCCGCCTCCCCTCGGAGCGGTGCGGTGCGGCTCGCTGCTTCGCCCGCCTCCTCTCCCCGAAACCCGCCGCCTCCCCCACGCATGCTCCCAGCTGCACTAGCCGGCAGCGCCTGGAACAGCGGTGCGGGGCGGCGCGTCTCCCCGAGCCGGACGCGGGGCCGGGGCTCCCCGGGGTCCCGCAGGTCAGTGCGCACGGGCGGGGCGCGGGGCGCCGAGCGAGGGAAGGGGACAGAGCCGCGGGGGGGCCGGGGCAGGGCTGGCGAGACGCGCCCCCCCCCCGCCTGGGTGCGGGATCCCGGGGGCCGGTTTGCGCCTTGCCCCTGGGGGCGCGGAGCGGGGCTCCTTGGGGCGCGGGGGTGCCATGTGCCAGGGTGCCAGCCGGGGAGCGGGCTGTGCGCTGGCGATGCCGGTGCCGTGTCTACACGGGGCTGGGTGTGTGTCGTGGCCGCGTGCTCCGGGTTTTCGGGGGATCCGGCCCTGGGGGGCACCGGGAGATGTGAGTTTCCGAGGAGACCGGCCCCGGCGCCCGCCCCCAGGGCTTCCTTTCGCGCGGCACAAGCGATCCGTGCAATATTTCATCCTGCAGATGTGCCCCCCCGGCCCCATCGCGTTAATTATTATTGTCCAGAGCAGGATCTCCGCCTCCCCGCCCATTGGCACCTGCCCTGCCTGGGCCAGGGCCTGGCCCCAGCCCGGCTCTCTTGGCCTGTCTGGTGACAGTGGCTTTGGGCTGAGGGCGGGGGTCCTCGAGGAGGATTTGCTCCGTGTGTGTGTGTGTGTGTGCACATGTGCACACGCGTGTGCGGGTGGAGGGGGACCCTCGCTGAACGCAGATTCCTACACCTGGGAAGGCGAGAGAGGAACGGATCAAGCCTCCAATGCGACTGGAATTTTGTACCTGGCGGATATTTAAGGCAATTGCTCCTCTGGGTCCGTGCTTGGCAATGCCAGGCCCAGCAAACACCTCCCAGAGCCAGGCACAGACCAGAGAGAGACTCTTGGATCAGTCCGATTCCCAGACCTGCCAGCAGCAGGGTTAGGTGGGCTGGGCACCCCAGGGACGTTCAGCGCTGGGCTGTGGCTTTTGCAGGCCCCTTGCCCAGGGTACCCCAAGGGGAGGGCCCCGGCAGTGGTGTGCGGCGAATGGGGGTTACAGCAGGGGGGGCGCTGGGAGCCATTGAACCAAACGAAACCCTGAACATGCTGGGAAGCACTTCACGCCGGGTGTGGATGTGAGATGCTGCTTTTCCTACACAGCTGCTGCCACCCTGACTTTAAACAGCACAGCCCAGCGAATGCGCGGCCCCCTTTGGCGGGACAGGCCTGGAGAGGGAAGCGTGGGGAACACAGCAGACAGGCTGGGAGGCAGTCTAGGCCCGGGGTGTTTGTCCCATAACAAAGTTGCTGTTACCGCCTGGCTGCTCCCGGGAACTAGGAGCCAGGCGAGCTCTGAGCTGGGGGGGGCGGCTCTCTGCCCCGTGCGCTCCGGTGTCCCTCCAGTCCAGTCGCTCCCTGGCTCAGCAGAATGCGGCGCTCTGCCGGTGGCGCTGACTTCCCCAGGGAGATCAGCGTCCGACCCAGGGCCACGGTGCGACTGGTGGGGCCGGGGCGTGAGCTGCTTTTGTAGTTCCTAGCGAGCCGCCGTTCATTCGGCGCGTGGGTGATGCTGGATTTGCCCAGACGCTGAAGGAGAGTAGCAGGCACCGGAGCGAGCAGGCCCCTGCTGTCTCGCATCCAGATCTTACCCCTCTGGGAGCGGCGTTTCCTGCCGTGCTCCGTCACCACATCCGCTGGCCCCCACACCTGCTGGCAGCTAGATTCCCTGTGCCCCCAACGCAGCGGGGTGAACCGTTCTGCTCTGGCAACGTCACACCTCCCTCCCCGCAGGCAGGACAGGCCGCTCTGGGCCCAGGCGGAAAAGCCGGACTCCTGCTCGCACAAGGGAGCAGGTTCTGCCTGGCGCTGCGCTGGCATTGGCCAGTGTCACTCGCTCAGAGCCATGCAACACCAGCGCAGCCCTGATGAACGTGGCCCCATTGCATGTGCCATCAGCACCCGCGTCCCCTGCCCTGTCCTGCCCTTTCTCTGCTCCTTGCGTTCAGCAGGAAGGCTGGCCCCGAGGCCTGGCTGAGCGCCTGGGCTCCCCATGTGTGGCGCGGCTGGGCACTGCCCGGAGGAGGGGCTGGCAGGGTGGCGTGGAGAGCAGGGATCACCCTCGCTCATTGGGCTGGGCACCTTGTCATACGGTGGATACCTCCTCACCTGGCCAGCCCCCCTCCCGCTCACCCACAACCCCCACCTCCCCTCTCCCCGTTCTCCCTCACCCAGCTCCCCACCTCCCCTCTCTGTCCTCCGTCACCAGCCCCCTCCCCTCCATGTTCTCCCATCACTCCCCTTTCTCCTCCCATGTGTCATCGCCAGAAGCAGCGGTAGGAAAACGATGTATTTTTAGCTTCTTTCAATGCTGTGGAGCAGCTGGAGACGGGGAGAAGCAGCCAGTGCTCAGCAGACTGCTCTGAGATCCGCGGCGCCTGCAGGATTCCAGCCGCACTCGCCACTGCGGTCACCTCTGGGGTGAAGCCTGCAGCTGTCTGACAGCACAGAACAGGGCCACCCAGCAGCAAGGGCAGGAGCGGGGGAGGAATCCGGTACCCAGTGTGTGGCAGGGAAATGCCGACCTCCAGTGGGAGTTTGGCCAGGGCTGAGGATCGCAGGTACCCCCGAGCGTGGCGCTAGCTCTCTGCGCAAAGTCAGCCCAGTGCCCCTCGCTCGGATCCTCACGGGCTCGGGAGCCGCAGCTGCTGTCAGAACAGGCCGCGTTTGCACCCCCTCTGCGTGAACGCCCTCATGCATGTGCAGGAATATCTTGGTTGTGAGCAGCTTGGTGTGCAAAGGCAGGGGCTTGGTACGTGCACGGATCGGCCTCTACTTTTGCACGGGCAGGTTCAGGGGCTTTTGGAGAACGTGTCCCAACCGTAACAGAGTCTGGCTGGGGCATGGGGGGGAGCAGCGGATCCTCACCGCACGGGCCTGTTTGAGGGACGTCAGTGGATTGCACCGGGGTGAGAGGGCAGGACCCAGCTCTGGTGGATCTAGTCGCCTGGGGATCGGTGCCACGCGGCTCTGGGCTTGGCAGGCAGGGGTTGGTTACAGCCCTCAGGACAGAGACAGCGAGTCGGACGGGCAGCGGCACGGCAGAGGGTGTGATGAAGACACAGCTGGACATTGATGGGCACCGTGCTGCACAGCCGGGCTCAGCTCAGCCACCGTCCCAGGGATCCGCTGTGTCACACTCCCTGGCGCCGAGCCCGGGCAGCTCTCTAGGGCTCAGGCCAGCACTGGCTGCAGTGCACCCCACGAGGGCCCAGAGAGCCTGGCTTAGAATCACAGAATCATAGAGTATCAGGGTTGGAAGGGACCTCAGGAGGTCATCTAGTCCAAACCCCTGCTCAAAGCAGGACCAATTCCCAACTAAATCATCCCAGCCAGGGCTTTGTCAAGCCGGGCCTTAAAAACCTCTAAGGATGGAGATTCCACCACCTCCCTAGGTAACCCATTCCAGTGCTTCACCACCCTCCTAGTGAAAAAGTTTTTCCTAATATCCTAAACCTCCCCAACAGCAACTTGAGACCATTACTCCTTGTTCTGTCATCAGGTACCACTGAGAACAGTCTAGATCCATCCTCCTTGGAAACCCCCCTCAGGTAGTTGAAAGCAGCTATCAAATCCCCCCTCATGCAGATTAAACAATCCCAGTTCCCTCAGCCTCTCCTCATAAGTCATGTGCTCCAGACCCCTAATCATTTTTGTTGTCCTCCGCTGGACTCTTTCCAATTTTTCCACATCCTTCTTGTAGTGTGAGGCCCAAAACTGGACACAGTACTCCAGATGAGGTCTCACCAGTGTCGAATAGAGGGGAACGATCACATCCCTCGATCTGCTGGCAATGCCCCTACTTATACAGCCCAAAATGCCGTTAGCCTTCTTGGCAACAAGGGCACACTGTTGACTCATATCCAGCTTCTCATCCACCATAACCCCTAGGTCGTTTTTTGCAGAACTGCTGCCTAGCCACTCGGTCCCTAGTCTGTAGCAGTGCATGGGATTCTTCTGTCCTAAGTGCAGGACTCTGCACTTGTCCTTATTGATCCATTTGATACCAGCTGCCAGCTAGACATGGAGCCATTGATCACTACCCGTTGAGCCTGACGATCTAGCCAGCTTTCTATCCACCTTATAGTCCATTCATCCAGCCCATACTTCTTTAACTTGCTGGCAAGAATACTGTGGGAGACCGTATCAAAAGCTTTGCTAAAGTCAAGGAATAACACATCCACTGCTTTCCCCTCATCCACAGAGCCAGATATCTCCTCATAGAAGGCAATTAGGTTAGTCAGGCACGACTTCCCCTTGGTGAATCCATGCTGACTGTTCCTGATCACTTTCCTCTCCTCTAAGTGCTTCAGAATTGATTCCTTGAGGACCTGCTCCGTGATTTTTCCAGGGACTGAGGTGAGGCCGACTGGCCTGTAGTTCCCCGGATCCTCCTCCTTCCCTTTTTTAAAGATGGGCACTACATTAGCCTTTTTCCAGTCATCCGGGACCTCCCCCGATCTCCATGAGTTTTCAGAGATAATGGCCAATGGCTCTGCAATCACATCCGCCAACTCCTTTAGCACCCTCGGATGCAGCGTATCCGGTCCCATGGACTTGTGCTCGTCAAGTTTTTCTAAATAGTCCTGAACCACTTCTTTCTCCACAGAGGGCTGGTCACCTTCTCCCCGTATTGTG